TTTTAGTAATCTATACAAAAACATAGTTTACTATTTTTCTTGGATACTATTACAACTAGAGACGATCAGAAACTATTTATCTCTATAATAAGTTTTTGCTTTTTTTAACTTAATTATTTTCTTTCTAATGAATTTATTCTCTTCATAGGCAGCTTTATAATATCCTTGTTTAATCAGAACAGTATCATCTGTACTAATGACATATATAGTGACATTAGTACACTCTAAATCTTCAAGACCTTCGGCAAACATTTCTACTTCATTAAGTAGAAATTTGTAGATTTTTAATTTTTGTTAAGTAGTTAATTCATTGTTATTAATCATTTCTAACAATTTTTCTTTTATAGTCTTCTCTTTTTCCTTGTTATCTTCTTTTTGTGTAGGGACTTTTTCTATATTAGTGAAGTATAGTGCTAAACTTTTTTCCTTATTTAAGAGTCAACTTTTGATATTTTTTTCGTCAAATTCTTTTTTCTCATAATCAAATTTATTGAATGTGTCTCTGCTATTACTATATAAATCTTCATTTTGGTATGGAATAAGATTTTCAACCCCACTGTTTGAAATTTGGACTTTTGCTGATCTATCGGCATATTGTAAGTATAACTTCTGCTTGTCAAAATGAATTCAAGCTTTTGTCTTTTAAAACCAATCAGTTTTTAATAATAAAGTATTATTTGATGCCTTGATTACATGTAAGGTGATAGGGATTACTACATCCTTAATTACTATTCTTACATCTTTTATTTTTCCCAATGTTTTAGTTTTTGCCCCTGTTGCCATTACTATTGTTGTAATAGACTTATTATCTATCTTTAAATCAAGTTTATCCAATAATTGTTTGAATATAATGCTTACTGTGATGCCAGAATCTAACTCAGCTAATAGTAGATTATTACAAATCCTTATATAACATCGAGGAGCAGTTATATGAAGATATTCTTTAAGGAAGTTTGTTTCTTTTATTATTGACAGCCATTTCAATATCTTAGTTAAATTCATTTTTTGATTTGGATATTGTAGTATTTGTCTTACTATAGCACTAGTAGGTAAAGATAGAATATCATCTGCTACATTATACAGCTTTAACGAATCAACTATTGAAGCATCATGTTTTCTTTTTGGTTTTATGAGTAGAAGTGGGTTTTGTAAAGTAGTAGGTATAACATCTATATTTTGTTCTATTTCTTTTTCTTAACTTTTGGCTATTTTTCTTAATCTATTTTCCTATTTTGGGTTTCTATCTGCTTTGTTACTTGTTGCAGAGTAATTCTATTATTTACTATATATACTTCATTTTTATTATCCTCTAATTTACAAAAACTAATAGTTTTTGTTTGACTAATAGTTCTATTTTCTCTTCTTTTATTTTTATAAGGATAAATTTTTTCTGACATACAGTATCTACTTATATGGCCCGTTTTGCTACAATTATAATATTTTGTTCTTCTTTTCCTTTCTCACTGATTATTTGTCAGATGGCCTATAGATAAATTTTCCTAGAGACATTTATTTATTGTTTCTCTTATTTGTGTAGTTAAGGTTGCGTAATTTAATACCAGATTGTCAATTCGGTTCTTCATATTATTTAACTTATTCCCCATTTGTCATGGTCCTTCTCCTCTTTCAGATAGTTGTTAACCATAATAATCGTTAGCTTCAACTCTTCTTGCTGCCGCCGCTATTGCTTTTGTTAAGTTTTTTGGGCTGCTACAGCTACAAATATAGCATTATTTCCTTTTAACCCGTTCAGAAACATCCGTATCATATATCCGTCTGAGAAACTATTATTAACATTAATTCTACTAAGTAACTTTTTGAATTTAGTAACATAAGTATCCAATTTTTCAGATTTCTTTTGTTATAACTTATAGAGTTCAATTTGCCAATAATGTTGACATTCTTCAGAAGCAAACTGTTTTATAAACAAATGGTAAAAACTTTTATTTCGTTTTCTTTCACCCTCTTTGTTCCAATATTTAATGTCTTTTTTAATTTTTTTATATTATTCAGCAGCCATTTCCTTTAAGTATCCTGATGCAATTTTTACTTTTCGTTCTTTGGCTCAATTATTAGCCTCACTGCCCTTTCGAAATCATCAAACCATTTGAAAGGATCTTCATCATCAGTACCATAAAAGTATTTGACTTTTACAAAATTATTTTCTTTCAATAAGACTTTTGTTTCATTTTTACTAACAGATTTGATCAGCACATCCATAATTGTTGAAACTGATCATTATTCATTTTAAATTGAGTTTTGTAGCTTTAATTATAGTTATAAAGTTAATATCTCACAGTCACCACCAAATGTTATAGGGTGAATCATAGGTTTATTTAGTTTAACACAAAAATATAATTTTTAGACGATATAAGGAGGCATGACATTGGTGTTTGGTATTAATTTATTTTATTTTATGAGTATGACCAGGTGATTTATTAATATATTGTGAGAGAATTATTAGAATCCCATAGAATGATTTTTTAAGACGGGCGAAATGCTAGAGTTTTTATAACTTTAGCAAATGTAATGGATTCAAGGGCTTAGAGATGACTCATATATTACATCCTTAACGATTTTAAGAAACTACTTCTAAGCTAGGGGGCTTACAATGATAATTTACAATATTATTATAATGGAAGAAAGGCTTTGCTTCGCTCCTACACTCATTCACTTTTCAGCCACTTCAACTATATCTAAATCTTGTCATTAGGTCTTCTTTTATTTCTTCTTACGCGTTTCTTGTTCTTCGGATTTCGCGTTGGTTATTGTTTTATCTTTATTTGGCCGATAAGCCTCAACCGATAAACCAGTATTTCTTGGATCTATTGCTTCAATCACGGGTTTGCTATGCCTAATTTTGTAAATCCTTCATTTTAGCCCGTGACACCATCAATTTGTAACTAACTTTTAAATATAATTTTTTTTTTAGTTATATAGCTTTAAATATATAATAATTTTATATGATAACATATAAAAAAAAAAGTCAAAAATAGGATACATCTTATAATGAATGATATACAGATATAAAGAAAAATAGTTTATCTTAGAAGGTAACATTTGTTACATAATATAAAAATTTACTACCGGTATGCAAATCAGTGTTGGCAGAATATGGACATGGACATATTTTTATCGGACATAGACACTCAGTCCAAATAAAAATCGAACACTTACTATTCCGAAATTCCAAATATGCAGACAAAGAAGACACGAGTGAACCATAAATTGATCACCTGCAGGATATTGGGAAATCTGTAAATGCCCGTCACTACATCAGGTTACTTTTTTAAAAAATTTTTTGAACATTGATCCATATACAAAAAAAAAATATGGACATGGACACTATTGGGATTTGTCCATGTCTAAATAAAATTTTTGTTGAACATAGTCCAAATGCCAACACTTATGCAAATTAATATTTGTACACTAAGTTGTTCAGAAAATTAAATAACACATACGCATCCTGAAAGTTCTACTTAGATTTGATGATTTTTTATTAATACAATTTTGCATATTTCGATTATGCGAAACAAATTTTTAAAACGTTTTTAAAATTTTTTTACCTAATCGTAATATGCAAATATGCATTAATAAAAAGTTAATATAAATGTATTTTGATCTCCTGATATCGATTTGCTCATTAAAATTTTTGACTTTACTATGTAGAAACTATTGACGAATCTCAAAATAGAACACTGTAGTCTAAGTGTTGAGCATTGCAGAAAAATTTTTCTTTTGCGTTTCAAAAAGCGGGTGGGTTTTTAAAAAAATTTTATACACGAAATTACAGCTAGGGTTGAAAATTACATTTTACGATCTTACATTTTCATGTAATTTTGTGTAATTTTGCGAGTTTCAAACCTTTTTTACTAATTACATGGAAACCGTTTTACCAAAACCTACATAAATTACGCAAAATTACGCAAAATTACGGTAATTTAACAACCCTAATTACAGCTGTTCTCATAAATTCTGGGACAACTGATAAAAATTGTTTCTGCCGAGATAACGATAAGTTTTTGAATTGCATTACTGTAATGCCGAAAATCCAATGCCGATAACACCGAATTCCGAAACAATTTTTATCAGTTGCCCCAGAATTTATGAGAACAGCTGTATAAAAAAGAAGCTGGCCGGCCAGGTCTGTTTAAAAGTTTTATGTTATGAAAACCACGACATTAAATTTGCATGACCTTATAATATCGTTGTCAAGATCTCTTCTAATAGAAGTTGGAACACTTGATACTGTGCCACGAAAATTGTGTTATATAAAAACTCGTGTAACAATGTTTTGTTAATATAAAAATAAATAGCCAATCAACCCGAATTTTTTTTTGTTACGGACTCTATCAGATTGATTTCCTGGTAAAATCTTCGATTCACGTTCAAAGATAATTGTCTACCAATGTCATCGATTCGTGTTATCATTCAATTTCTGCCACCGATAAATAAAACTTTCACCTTTACAGAGCCAGATACCCTTGAACTTGGGCGCTTCTCCGGGATTATTCAAGACCCAGCTATAAGCAAGAAACAAGGTTAAGTTTTGACTTTAACGTTAAGCTTCTGCTTAATAATTCTGCCGTTCTGTTTTACCTTTTATAGTGATTCTCTATTATCATTAATAAAGAAATACTGAATCATATCAAATTTTTTCCTTTAGTCCGTTTTGAAGTAACAAATGGTCGAGTTTACGCTATAGCCGTAATTCAATATTTTTTTTTTTATCGCTTTTTTATTTTATTTTGTTAAAAAGCTACATTTCCAAATCTTATACATTTTTTAATAAAAGCTTGGGGCAAATTCGATGATGAGAGGAACGGAGAAAATTTATAAAAATAATAAAATAGAAATTCATGATGGTGAAACTTTAACATTAATGCAGGCAAGCTATTTTCTCAAAGAATTTCATTATTCGAAAAGGCTAATAGAGACGTTTTCTTTTTATCATGCAACAGAATAAATATCCATTTGAAGTAACAATCATAGACAACTCTATGCCAAATTTGCAAAGTTTATCACAGGATAATTTTAAGCACCAAAGCTCTGCTACAGGAAATGAAAGTGTTTTACCTTCGTTTTGTAACGATGATGGTCGTGAGTATGACGGAATGGAAACACCATCTCAACTTTTACGAGAGATGATTTCTTCACAAGGCGATCTTGATGCGATACCAGATGACGACCATGATAACAATGATGACAGAGATTCTAGTGATAATGGTGCCGACATTCATGATAGTGATAGCATTAAAAGCATCGAATCGGATAGTAAGATGATCTCTTCAGAATCTTCATACTTGGGAAGTTCATGTGAATCCTCTGAACCAGATATAGAAGATTAGTTGGTCAGTTACGTATTAAAATAAAAATAGATTGCTATGGTATATGTAATAATTATAGTCAATTAAAAACTTTAAGCTTAACCGAGCCGGTAATTTGATACATCTAAGCCGGTTAAGTTGGTTATTATCTCAATATCTCAAATTAGATCTGCCAATAATCAACTGATCTGGAACTCCCACTGGTCATGCTCGTATTTATTTATTTTATTTTACATAAAAGATAATGTCGTTTTTTAATAAACTCTAGCAATGGCAGAAACGAAAATCAAAATTTCACGTTCAAAAAAATTCTTTAAAGTTAGGGTTAGTGTTTATATTAGAATTAGATGTTGGCGCGTTACAAAGTAAAATTGCACAGCATAAAAAGTGATTTCTTATGCAAATTTTTGAGAAATAGGCGATTTTTGATCTGACGGGTTTATAATTGGTTAATGGTCATGTGATATAAACTTATCGGTTATCGGCTCGTTAAAGTTCTAGCATACTGATGATCGTCATACAGTATGACTTCCAACATTATTATATATAATTATATAATAATTTAATGAAAATGTAAAGAAACTTGAATTGTAAAAGTTGTGTAAATTCAAATCTATAAATCTATAGCAACTGAAACAAAAATTTATTATATGAGTGCGTGAGAGTGAAAACCTGGAAACCGATTTAATGATTTACTATGATCGGTTTCCAGGTTTTCACTCTCACACACTCATATGTACAGTACACTATATAAAATTTAAATTTTGCAGTTCATTACGTCCAAAGTTCACTATAAAAAGTTCGGTATAGGAGTTTCAACTATGAATAGATATATAAACGACATCCGCAATCACAAATTACTGTAATTTAGCATAAATAAATAATGCCATGAAACTTGTAAAGTTTAAATATATTTATATATGAAATCTATACCTGCAAACTAATTAACTTTAAGAACAAATCAACCATTAGTTTATATATAGATATAAAGGTTCAATTTTATTTTATTTCTCGGCAATATAAAAACTACGAGTGACAAATGCAAATGAGAAATGTATAACGATAATTTATCGTTAACCACCGCTTACAGTATCATTCGAATATAAAATCTTACTACATAGAGTACCTTTCGCTAATGAGACTGCTGGATTCGAATTTAAAAATGAAATTCTTGAAGCAAAACTAAAAAAATAGAGGTTGAGATCATGTGACTGCACCTTGTCCCAACGTTCGGCTTCAAGGCCTTGAGCCGAGCCATTATAAGGTAAATAGATGTGCGACGCTATCTAGGAACGTAGTCAATGATACGTATTTATAATAATATATGGAGTCTTTGCCTTGAAAATCACCTTCCGACATTTCCGATCGGGTTAATTCGGACAAAAATAAAGCCGAATG